TTAAAAAAATCTGATTTTGGGTATCCAGTACACTGCCAATTATTTGAATGTAATCCTGATTCAATGTTTGGTTTAAATCGGAATCCCAGAATGGGCACCGCCCTGGAGGTCTTCCGTCCAGTAACCCTGTCCCTAGAGGCCTCCAGAGCGCCTGGATGTTGTCACGGCGCGGGACGCGCCTTCCAGGAGGGGGGAGTAAATGTCAGTATTTTGTTCCTGTGTCTTGTGTTTCCCTCCCTCATATGCCCATTTTTGGTCTTTCTGTTCCTGTACTCATTCTGTTTATTTGGTTCCAGCTGTGTTTTTCCTCATTTCATCATGTTCATTGTTTCCAGGTGTTTCCTCATTAATTTCCATGTCTACTTAAGCCCTGTGTTTCCCTGTGTCTAGCGTCGGCTGTTAAATGTCATCTCCTTGTTCACTCCGTGTGTTTCTTCGTTTGATTCCTGTGGATTATTAAAGACTGTTATATTGCAATACTCCTGCGTCTCCTCGTTCCTCGCTCCTATGTGAGATCGTGACAGCAAGAAGATGACGAAATGAAACATTTGCAAATGTTTCCTTGTGCAGTACTGGCTGTTCTAGCTGTCACATACCTTTAGTGCTTTACTAAATATGTATCCTTCTTTAATAAGACAATCATAGAATGAACTGTGACAAGCTAAGAAATCCATCCATTTTCCAAATGGCTCACAAGGATGTTAGAACCATTGGGATGCATAGGATGCATAGAATCCCATTGTCTTGGACCATGAACACCATGAAAACACCATGGAAAGATGGCCAGTCACACACAAATTCACACACACCTATGAACAATTTAGTGTATTTAACCTATGTTGCATGTCTTTAATTGTGGGGGAAACTGGACCAAGCTGAGAAATATTGATTGTAAATCTACTTAAATTTCATTATTTAAAAAAGTAGGAAACACTTTATAGCTAGTATACAGTAATAAAGTAGTAAACAGTAATAAATCATTCATAAACTGTTATTTTGTAGTTAATTCATAGTTTCTAAATTGCAGTCTTATAAATTGTAGTTAATACATTAATAGCCCTATGTACAAATAGTGAATCCTTCATTAATTTACATACTAATTTACTTACATATGTAAAGTGCTCATAGTTAACTCATATCTAACACACCTAACTCCGACCTGACTAGAAACTTTAATTTCGTACATTTCTATTGGTTTATTATTTAATATAAATTTAAGCAGGTTGCATGTTAATAAAGTCTTAATTTTGTATTTGACACACTACTCTAAAACATTTCTTCAAAAGTGACGTGACATGTGGCCAAGTATGGTGACCCATACTTGGAATTAGTGCTCTGCATTTAACCCATCCAAAGTGCACACACACACACAGCAGTGAACACACACACCGTGAACACACACGCGGAGCCATTTATGCTGCGGCGCCCGGGGAGCAGTTGCAGGTTCGGTGCCTTGCTCAAGGGCACCTCAGTCGTGGTATTGAAGGTGGAAGAGAGCGCTGTACATTCACTACCCCCACCTACAATCCCTGCTGGTACGAGACTCGAACCCGAAACCTTTGGGTTACGAGTCCGACTCTCTAACCATTAGGCCACGACTTCCCCGTGATTCTATGAGACAATTCGAACAGTCTGCACAAGATGCACACCATACAACAGTATGTTATGTGACATGTGAACTGAACTATATTTGTGGGCCAAACAAGAACAAGAGAAGTTTGCCTCTTCAGAATCCCCCCAGCTAAATCACATTAGCAAACAGAATTCTGCCTGTCACAAAGCCAACACAGTGATTAGACTCATTTTTAGGTCTAGACAAACATCTTTCCAGAATCCAACATCTCACTGGGTTGTCCTCTCTTTCACCATGCCAAAATATACAGAGATTCTATTTCCAATGGAAAAAACTGTTGTATTTATACAAATCTTATACAGACCTGCTTCTCTCAAGTTAACGTCCAGTCAAGGATGTTAAAAGTCAACATGGAACTAAAGTTGAGACTGATTTTATTACCATATCACCATATGCATTTCTGAGTAAAATGGCTTATTCAACAAGAACTTGATTTTATCCAAAAATATATGGATGACTCATTCAAAAAAATTGCAAGGGTTTTGATTAATGCTCCATAACATTTGGGGGGTTACCAGCTCTTTTTAGTCTCAATTATGGATTAAGATCTTTCAGTAATATCAGAACCTTGATGTGATTTTTCAATACTCTTCACACAAAAAACTGATGATTAAACAGCACATTTTTCAAAACTCTAGCACTTTTTCATCTAATATGACTGTCATTTTCATTTTATAGAATGATACAACTGCTCAAAATTATTTAAAAAAATGGTAGAATTTCTCCTAAAGCATAGTTTTCAAATACATTATCTATGGATGTGATTTTTCATCATTATTCTTTATCAGGCACAGTTTCCATGATCCCATGTACTATTTTTCCAGACCATGATATTACTGTGATGCAGGCCCATTGTAATGAGAACCTGTGACCAAATGTTGTGATCTGATTACATTATCAATACCTTAAATTTCTGAATTTGTTCAATGATTCACTGTAGCACTGTAATGAAACACATATCTCATATTTTGTACTACAATATTTAATGGTCAACTACACTGCAAAACTCTCGTTACTGTGTGTGGGTGATCTCAGTTAATGTTCTTGTGGGGTTTCATTCTTAATTATTTTGAACAAATGATTTTGCAAGTACTAGGCTTCTTTAAAGATATTACATTTACATTTAGTCACTTAGTAGAAACTTTTATCCAAAGCGACTTACAAATTAGGACAATGGAAGCAATTAAAATCAACAACAGAGCAATATGCAAGTGCTATGACAAGTCTCAGTTAGCCTAATAGAATATGAACGCATGATACAAAACAAAAAACAAAAACAAAGGTGAAATCTGAAATTAGTGATTTGTAAAAAAAAAAAAAAAGAGCACACCCATCAACGTGCTTCATTCGGGTTATGAAACTTGTTGGCAGCGCTACAGAGGACTTGCTCGAAAAGGATTTGTCATTTTGTTTTTAGACCACAAATTCTACAATGTCACCAAAGAAGTGCAGTTGTGAGGGAAAGATAACCTTGTTTAGCTTCCCAAAGAGCCCGGCGTTAAGGGAACAGTGGATGCAGTTCGTTTCTCCGGGGAAGCAACGGAGTTGTGCAAGTGTGTTTGTTTGTTCTCGGCATGTTCTACTCAAGATTAACATGAGATTGGTAGAAACTGTGTTTTATGTGCCCTTTAATGACTTTTTGAAATGTCACTCTACTTGTGTGGTTGCCGAGGAGCCACATGAGCTAGTTTTAGGGATCCTATGTTGAGCTTGAGGCTATGGAGAGCCACCAGACAGTCTCTACTTCTCTCTCATAGGCAGAGAAAGACTATATTCCCCCATGGGTCAGGATGTTTACTTGACGAGAGTGGCTTGCAGCTGATCCTGGACTTGCATCTGCTGAACCTCAAACTGAGGACATGCAGTTTCAGAATATTGACACTAAAACACATTTTGTCTCAGAGTTGAACAGGAGACTGATTCATAACTATTGATCTGTAAGATGCATATTCTATTTTCAGATTGTCTAGAAAGACACAAAGTTTCTTAGGTTTGCCCTTTTGGCGGATTCTAGCACAGTCAGAAGAAAGAATAATTTCACATAGAGACTTGGTTCTTGATCTACCGAGGCTTGAAAGTATTTTATGGGGTTGATCAGAACACATGCACTACACAGGCATTCTGATTAAGAAATGACTCAACTTGGGGTAAACTCTACCTTCTCATTGAAAGCAGTTGGCTTTCTGTCTGTTGCAATAAAGAATATATAGGACGCTTTAGCCATCTGCACAAATGGCATAAGTGAATATACAGGACTCCTAACAAACAGAAGAACTGGAGACCTTGGGAGTGTGAACGAGTGATTTCTAAAGGCTGTGCAGATATTTACTTCATAGTTTTCTCTTACAGGGAGCCTCAAAAAAATAGCTTCAACTTCTCTCTCCCTTCTTGAATTACTCAGGTCTCTCTTTTGAGTGCTTTCTTAAACACACAGCCTTGCTTGTTCTGTTTACATTGCTGTGCATTTTAAGCAGGCCATGTGGTGGGCTTGTATGGCAATTCTCCATTACTGCAGACATGAATGAGCTTTTTGTTTGGTCTCACAACTTGTTTTCCAAGACGTCTGTTGCTTGGTTCTGTTTCCTGTTTCCAGGATTTGTTTTTTTCCCTCTCTTTTTTAAACGTTTGCTCTAAGAGGAAATCATTTTTGAGTGCAGGAGCACTGAGAGAACATCAACTGATGACAACTTTGTTCCAGGATCTGTTTTAGTAGCTACAAACCTTTAGCTGCAAACCAATTTACCTATAATTCCCACCTCCAAAACCCAAAAAGGACAAGTGCTCTAGGTGCAAGCATGTGTGTATCATGGATCCAAACTTTATACAAGACTTTGTAGATATAATGGAATCAAATACAACATTTCCAGACCGGAACTGAAGTGGTTGTTGTTCACTTTGCAGGTCCTTTCAAAACAATACCACTTCCACAAAAACATAACCTGGAAATGACTAAAACCCATTTGTTTAAATCAGTATTCTACTGAGGCTTCTGAAATAAGCCAATGTCTTCTCTCTCTCTGTAATCAGGGTGAAAGGGAGTAATATCCTGAAAGTGGTTGACCACAGAAATGGGATCCAAAAGGATCGTGTCCAGAGGAGGAAGGGAGGGGCTGTGTGTCTGATAAGTTTGGCTTACGTTTTGGCCAGAGGTTTCAAAGAAGTTGTCATTTTCCAACATCAATTTCAAAGGCTTTGTCTCACAATGAAATGTTTACACTTCTGAATCTGTGAAAAGATACATCTCTTCCTTGCAAAGCATGCAAAATTATTCTATAGTCAGTAAAAAGAAAAAGTAGCCAGAAACATTTAAACTAGTAAACTGCTAAAAAAAAAAAAACCTTAAATGATTATGTTGTGAAGGACTCACCTTTTTCTTGCTGCAATAGATCTGCCATTTCTTCTCAGCAGGCAACGCAAACATGGCTTCCCTGTTTTTGTTTGTGAGATCCAGTTCATCCTGAGGAAAGGAGAGGACATGACAGCTGAGCCACACTTAACCTCAAAAGCAAAGATACCAGTCCTGTCTGTGTGTGTGGGGAGGATGGGTTGTACCTGGTATTCCCTATATATTATGTCCCCTTGTGAGTAGTAATATAAGTCATTTTTGATGTTGATGGGACATTTTGTATGTCCCCATAAGGAAAACAGCTTATAAATCATACAGAAGGAAAAATGCAGAAAGTTTTGTGTGAGGTAGTTTCTGTAAATAAAAAGTACATATATGGTGAAAGAATTATTCCTTCTTAATGTCTGTAGGATTTTCTCAAATGATCTGACAAATTTATCTAATACAATATATAAATGTATTAAAATAATATTAAGTAATAATAATACAATTCTGTAAAATGAAGGGCTCCTTAATCATGGTACCTGAAACAAAAATGTATTTATTATTAACATAACTGAAACGATGCAAATAAAATTATATAAATTAAATATGAGTTACCACACATATAGGTAATTTATGCTGAAAAGTTTATGTATTATGAATTACACTTACAGCAGTATGAATTTCATTCTATTCATTTTATTTTTCACTAGAACTCCAGATTAAGTTTCAGGAACTAAATTTAAAGCTAAAATGTGTCAATAGTAGATGGGGAACATAATATAAAAATTCCGCAACTGAAAAAAAAAAACCCCAAATCTTATTTACCCATGGTTGAAGACAATTTATTCTCCAAATGTATATCAATTTATAAAGTTTTTATTTGTATTTACTGCTGGAATAGAGCTTTGAACAAGATAAGCTATTCATCAAATATATACAGTCAGGATACATGACTGACACAGAGGTCAGGTTTTGAAAAGTAACTTACTCTGACAATGTCTGTTTGAAATGATGGAGCCGATAACTTGATACTTTTTTTTTCATTTTTTGTGAAAAATATAAAAGAAATATCAAAAAATATTTTGTGAAAAATATCAAACCAGTTACCTTTTATAGAAGACAGAAAGAAAAGAGAACTACACAGAGAGTGTAAATTACAGAGTGAAATGGAAACAAAACTAAAAGCCATAAAAGCCATACAGTAATAGTGAGAACAAAAAGGCAGTGCTAAAGGGAGTGAGGTGCAGTAAAGACAGAGAAGGAAAGATTTAGAGATGGTCAAAATGGAAGGAAGTCATATGTGGCCCACAAGGGACTGAGAGAAAACTGTTTTAGCCAGTAGTGACCAAGCAGTAAGCCTCATGCATAGATACACAAAAATGGAGAATTAACAACTAAGAGGAATAATTGACCTGAATATGCAAGCATACAGTAAAACCTACCATAAAATCAAGTCTGATGTTAATGATTTTAAACCTTTTTGTCTCTTGTGTGTCTAATTTTTCACAACAAAACCATATTTGCATTTAATTTAGATCACATCTGAGAGCTATGATAAAGGGAGAAAGACTAGCAATACAGTGACTCTCTATGGACTACTTTCCAAGCAATTTTTTTTCCTTGTGGGTGGTCAACATACTCCCAGTTCACATTATGAAAGAGAGCATAATCTGTAAATTTAAAAATATAATCTTTTGTGTTTTATGGAAAAATCAGTGATGAGGGGGTTGGACAACACAACGGTTAGTGATGATGGACTTTGCATTTTTGGGTGCATTATTACTTTAAGGGCTCTGAAAATGTGTAATACCAACTGAAACACCCTCAGCAACATGCAGTAATACTTGCCTTTAGATTAATACTCATTTAGGCTGCTCCTAAACTGACAGGAACAATCTTTCACAATGACAGCACAATCCTAAACTAATTTGTCAGACATTTTCTCTACTGGCCCACTCCCTTCTCATCCAGATCTAATCAGGCTAATTTACAGGGCGTAAATAGCAAGGTTCACAGAGGACAGTAGCCAGGAAGCTCATTGGCCGATATCACCACATTCAGAGCTCTCAGTCACAGAAATGAGGAAGAAACAAATATCTGACCTTTCCACACCAGGAAGGTTAGGGAGTTGAAAGGAGGGAACGGTCTGTTCTGTTATTATGTCATGTTATTCTGTAATCTTCTCAAAATAATTTTTTGTAAACTCTCTGTCAAGCATCAGGCATCTGCAAAGGTTGTGTATGTGAGACTTCACTAAGCAATATTGCAATATTAATATTAAAACACCGATCATAGCATGTTCATTGTTTCTGGTTAAATGCCACAATTACCTTGCTGCATGATTTGTTTTATCCTGGAACTACACATTTCTACCATATGGACAGTACTTTGACACAGTCACCTCTGATTACTCGTAATTGTAATGAAGAAACATGCATTTTCTGTAAAACTGCTTTGAAACAACATGAATCGTGAACAGTCTGTTGGTATGTGGCCACAGGTAAAGTTGTTGTGCTTATATTTGGACTCTCAACATGACTGTAAATGTGATATTATGTGACTTTTTTCTCAACAAGAACAAAGTAGAATCAACCGATGCTTGTCTCTGATAAACACGGTGGGTTGTCCCTTAATTAATCAGCTGATTTAGTGACACACTCATAACACACAAAAAGACAGTAACTTTTGAAAAATACCCTCAAAAATCTCCACAACTAATGCACAGACTGACAGCCGGTTTGGAAAGGCACGTACACAGACAAGTGATATGACAGCAAAATATAAAAATTCCAATGCTTGTAGACTAAATATCGGCACACTTGGAATACTGCTTGGCCAATCAAAATCTTATAAAATGAATGATTGTGATGCACAGTGGTTCTAAGCATTAAATAACAAAATATCATACCAACGAAAGGTTATTCATTTTAGAGATTTGTGAAACGTTTATAGAGAGCCTATCAAAAATGTATTGAAGACAACTGATATACAGTACAAGAGAGATGTGTTTACTATTTAGCTGCATATGTTGCAAATAAATATGTAAATGACTAGTAAATGTATCTTAGAATTCTAAAATTATGGAAAGGAAGATAGCTGTGTTGGGAAAGCCACTTTTAAATGTAGTTTTTTTGCGGAAAGTAAGGCTTTCCACTTGTTGCTTGTAGTCACATTTTATCAAGTAATTAGATTACATAACAGACACTACCTGGCATATTTATATTACAATCACTTTGCAAACCCACAGATTTATAAAGTTAATAAATATAAACCAAATTATATACACGTCTGTGCACAACTTCACCAGAGTGTTTGAATTACATGTTTTGAATGACCTGTTTCTCATATCATATTCCAAAAAACTGTTAAAACTCTTAATCCTGTCAAACTGTGACCCAGTTCTGTCAGGTTTCTTAAAGCTTCCTGTGAGAGAATATTTATTTAATTACTGCAAAAATAGCATATTTTGACATATTCCTCATATATGGAAAACACTTTGTTTTGTCTTTGCAGCAAAAAGTTTTGCTACACGTTGTGCAGACAAGCCATTTAAATGTTTAGCACAGCAGTACAATAAGACCGTTTGTTTGCTTGCTTGTTTGTTTGTTTGTTTAAATCTATAGGGATACTCCAGTGAAAGAATGGCAGCATTCTTTACCAAAAATAATCGATGAGTCTTTTCTTTGTGTATCAAGCATGAGGTTGCTCTGATTTACCTAACTGCTCCCATATGTTGGGCATTCTTTGACTCCAAATGATGAGCTTTATTTTTTCCTTTCCACATTCTGTTTTTAGCTGAAATACAGGGTGGGGAAAGACAGTTTAGCCAAACAGAAAAAAAGATAGACAGAAAAGAAAAATTAATCCTTCTTGCAACTAAATTTTCTCTTAAACATTTACATTTACATTTAGTCATTTAGCAGAAGCTTTTATCCAAAACAAGTTACAAATGAGGACTGTGGAAGCAATCAAATTCAACAAAACAGCAAGGATATGCAAGTGCTATAACAAGTCTCAGTTAGCCTAACGCAGTAAGGGTTTAAACAGCAAGGGTTTTTTTTTTAATTTATTAAACAGATTGTGTTAGCAAGGTTTTTTATTTTATTTTAAATTATATAATAAATAAAAAGAAAACAGGCAGAATAAAAAAAATAGAGCAAACTTATGTTAGAGAGGCCTTTTTGATTGTGTTCATTGTATAATAAATAAAAAGATAGAATACAAAAAGATTAGAGAATCTAGTCTTAGTTTTTTTTTTAAGTGATAAAATATAACTTAATTCCCACCATATTTCTGATATTATCTATCAAACTAATCTGATTAATTTGATTGTTCGCTTTTATTATAAAACCGCAAGTGCAGCGTGTTAGCATTTGTTAGCTGGCTAGCTTGTCATTCGCGTTTCCATTCGCGTCTATTGCTGTTTTCTTTTTCTTTTTCTTTTTTTCCTCTCTCCGTTTTCTCACGAGTTCATCAAACAACAGTGGTAAGTCAGAATCATTCATCAATCACGGTGAGTAATGGCTTCTTCTCCTGCTATTGTTGTTTGCACCGCTTGCCACATGTATAGTTTAGCTTTCTTTGTCGGCGACGAGGGATTCACATGTGATAAATACAGGGAAATAGTTAGGCTGACAGAGAAGATTTCAGAATTAGAGACACGCATCTACGACTAGCTCAGTGAGTCCTGTACATTGTTCGGTTCCGGTTACAATGCCTCTGCAGCAGGGCGACTGTGTGACTGTGAGGCGGCATAGTCGCGGGTCAAAACATCGCTCTTCCATTCCGATTAAAACATCAAACAGGTTCTCCCCACTCAGTGATGCATCTACTGAGAAACCTGATGAAGGGCTCTAGTTATTGGCGATTCTATTGTACGGAACGTGAAAATAGAGACACCAGCCACCATAGTCCAATGTTTACTGGGAGCCAGAGCGCCTGACATCTTGGCAAATTTAAAAGTGCTGTCTAATGCTAAACCTAAATCCTGCTAATTACTTATAAAGCCCTGAATGGTTTAGCACCACAATACTTGAGCAAGCTCTTATCGTATTATAGTCATCCACGTCCGCTGCGCCCTCAAAACTCAAAATCAACTGCGGGTAGCAGATCCTTTTCCTATTTAG